CTCCTGAGATTCCTGTGCACAGCACAGCGCGGGGGCAGAGGAGTGATCCAGGTGCTGACTGGGGTCCTGGAGGAGGAGTTTCCTAAAGCCCAGAGCGGTGTGAAAGGGCTCCTACAGCATACACTAGGGGCCTGAAGGGACCTCTTGGTCAGAAATTCAGACTCATTCGGCAATGACCTAGACAGGCAGATGCACGAAGACCAGACAGGTCAGGATGTTGCAACTGTTGCCAGATGGAATAGACTGGAAGGGAAGGAGCTGATCTCCAGCTCACTGCCCTGCTTTGGCACTAGGTATGCCGCCCAGGGACACCCCAATTAGACCGAGGCTAGATTTCTGCTCTGAGGCGCAATGGGCTCTGCAGCAGATGCTATTAGGGCCCCGCCTCCATCCTTGGACCTTCTGGAATTTTCATGCCAGTCTCACCATGTGCTCGGTCACCCTATGGCCAGCACCTGCATCCCTTTGTGGCAGGGCTGCCCTCAGGTTTCCAGAACCCCCTTTGCCTGTCCACCCAGAGAATCCGAGGTGCCCGGCTATTCACATCCCCCAGGACAGCCCTTAACTGATGCCTGACGGGTGCAGGGACAGGGAGATACAAGTTCTTCAGCTCCCGTGCCCCCATTCTGGACTCTGATGTGAGACCATCACTGTCCCCAGTGTCCTGCAGGACTGAGTGAAGGTTACCCTCCACGGGACTTTGCTTGACCCCCTCACTTGCCTACTCCTGGGTCAGCTCTTCCTGGCACCATGTCCGTGTGAGTCACTTTTACATGAATCCTCATGTTAGGGTCTGTTTTTGAGGAGTCCCATGTAAAACAAGAGCTCAAAATAAAACTGAGTTTAGTTATAGGAAAAAAACTAAGTACCACTTTTATGCCTGGCTGACTTTATAGACTGAGATTTATATGACCCCACTTATTAATGAAAACTTTCATAAAAGCTACCTCTTGTCAGCATTCACACATCTCCAGGAAGGATCTCATTAAACCCATGAGGCAGAAAGCACTGTCATGCCCATTTTACAGATTTCAAGAGGTCCAATAACTCTTAGTTCAAGGGTGACAAGAGAAGTCGGAGCCCTGTTCCAACCGTGGGCTCCCCGCCCGGATCTGGCCAAAGTCCCATGCTCTGAGCAGCAGCGCTGGGGGAAGGCAGAGACACAGTCGCTGAGCTGGGGACCCGGGCTCCTCCTGCAGGGGCAGGTCTGGGCTGAGAGCGAGAGGAGCCGACCCTGCAGGGGCCTTTGTAGCAGGAAGGCCGAGCACAGGCTCCCAATATCAAGGCCCTGAGTGGGTGAGCTCCCCCCGCCTGCACCTACTTGCTGTGTGGCCCCGGGCAGGTCCTGTCCCCCTCTGCGCTTCAGTTTCTCACTTGAAAGTGGGGTTCATAATCCTGAAAAGTGCAGATCCCCTGCTGGTGACTGAGGAGCTGGATGTGAGTCCTGACCTCTGTGCTCTTGAAACACCCCTGCCAGAGTGCGCTGATGACTGAACTTACTGTGAAATGGGTCAGAAAATAAGAAGGGGGTTGACTGACAGATAAGTGATGAAGCAAGAAAAATAAAAGGTTAATGGTGGAATCTTGTGATGGATGACAGTCTTTACCTTTGCTATAGGTTTGACACTTTTCATCAGAAAATGTTGGGGAGAAAACCTCCCAACAAGTGATTCTTTCTGATGCGAATGGCCCTGTCTCCTCTTCATGAGTCATTCTGATGCCTGAGCAGGAGGGAGGCAGGCAGGACAGGGCAAGTGCTTCTCTCTGGAGGGCCCTCTGACGTGGGCGGTTCAGTCTCCCATTTGCCTTCTCCTTTTCTTTGGGAGTCGTCAGGTCCAGAAAGCAGGTCTCCAAGGTCCTCAGCTTCAGAGGAATTTTGGGTTTGATAGGGAAGGAGGGGGAGCAGGGCTCCAGGGACCCGGGGAGAGACAGAGAATATGTCATTGGGCACAAGATGTGTCTTGCAGCCACTGGACGTGACTTCCCTGCGGGTCCCACGTTATTCCAAAACGCTTTGGAAATCACCCCCATTCGTCACCCTTTATGCCTCTGATTCATCTTGCAGGCCAGAGAAGTCGTTTTATGGGGAAGCAAGTGTTCCTTCTACTGCCCTCTGACTCGCGACTGTTTATGCTCTCTCTCCAAAGGCTCTGTCAGTTCCTGCTGGGTCCGTCAGGTTCATCCTAAAGTAAAGTTCATCATCATCCTCTGGCAGACAGAGCCACAAGCAGCCACAAGTGGCTCATTGGTAATTCACCCAGGCCCAGAGAGACAGCCGCCCCATAGTCAAAATCCTGAGGGTCACAGATAACACGGTAACTTATCATTGGAGGTTCCAGGAAATGACAAGAGGACACCAGGCATCAGTCAAGGGCTGAGGGTGAGAACCAGCATCTCCTCTGAAGTATATTTGTTTCCTTTTATGATACAAAATTAACTCAACTTCTTGGTAGCAAGACAATGCCTAACACACCAAACGCACCCACTGTGTTTAGCATAGAGCCTGACCCAGAGTGAACACTCAAGACATTCTTGAACGAATAAATGAGTAGACAGTATAGAAAAATACATTTTCCGTCATGGATTAATAATATTGGACATCATTTATTGAATAAATTGTCTGCCAAATTACGGTAGATTATTTACAAAATGGCTCTGATTATTCCCCTCCCTGTATCCATACCCCTTGGCAATGTGACTTTGTTTCTCCTCCTGTCAAGAGATGGTGTCTATTTTCTCACCCCTGAACCTTGACTGGCCTTGTGACTTGTTTTGGTCAACAGGATGTGGCAGAAGTGATTGGGTGCCAGTTCCAATCCTAAGCCCCAAAGGCCTTGTGCATGTTCCCTCACTCTCTTGGAACCCTGTGTCACTAGCCAGCTGGGGGATGAGAAATTAAGTACAGACATGCGCCACTTACTGCTGGGGATATGTTCTGAGAAATGGGTCATTAGGCGATTGTGCGAACATCATAGAGCGCACTTACACAAACCTAGACGGAATAGCCTACTCCACACCTAGGCTCTCTGGGACTAATCTCATGCAGACCATCAGTGACTGAAACGTCGTTATGTGGGGCATGACTGCAGAGCAGAAACTAGATGGTCCAGTCAGGGCCACTCTAGGTCCGCCAGCAACCCAACCAACCCAGCAATTGACCGAAACAGCCCGAGGAAGCTGAGATCAGCTGAGACGAGAGCCACTCGAATGAACCAGCCCCAACGGTGAGCTAAACTGTTGTTGTTCCAGGATCTGAGTGTTGTTCTGAGACGCTAAGTGTTAGGGGGGTTTTCTCACAGCAAAAGCTGACTGACACACAAGCGCCACGTCATGTGCATAACGTCACCTCACCCCCACAACAACCCTCCAGAGTAGGTGTGAAGGAGACAGTTGTCTGTCTTCCAGAATGTGTTCTTTCCTTACCCCAGAGCAGGAGGGTTTTAGCTGGAATGGAGCCACCCAGCTATGGACTCAATTTCCCAGCTCCTCTTGCAGTGACGTGGCAATGTGAGCGAGTTCCCGCCAAGATTGCCAAAATGGAAATGTTGCAACTTCCACCCCAATTGCTTCAGGTAAAATCCCTGGCCTCGGAATTCGGCTCTTGTCCCCTTCCTGCTGACCAGGCGGGGATACGAGAGCTCTGCTCTCAGGCCTGGTGGACGCTCCTCTCCCACCGACCACTCAGGTGACCTTGGGCCAGGCTGCAGTGTGACAAGGCCCCTGGCCCCTAGGAAGCTCCCTCCCTGGATGTATGTAGGCTGCTTTAATAATACTAATCCTCTGAAAATCCCTCATAGCAGTGATATTGTCCCATTTTCCAGAGGAGGTGTCAAAACCAAGGCTGCCCTGCCGGGGCCCCGTCCTCTTCTCTTCCATCAGCATCTGCCAGGCGCCTCCCCTGGGCCCTCCCTGCCCTCCCTCCTCCCAGAGCTCACGGGGCTCTGCGGGCTCCAGGCTGCGGGGCGGGGGGCAGACTCCTGACAGGGCCGCGGGAGAGCAGGGCGGCCCTTCTGGGGGCTCAGCCTCAGGAGAGAGGAGCAGGCCGTCAGCTGGAGGAGGGAGAAAAGGGGCTGGGGAGGCCGGAGGGGGACAGCGGGAAGGGGCGAGAGAGGACCACAGTTAGGGCCACACTCTGAGATGTCTGCCTGGCTGGGGGTTTGGGGGTCAGCCCTGAAGGTGAGGGGCACATGGGCCCTCTTGGCGGCTGTGGCCTCTGGGCCTCTAAAGAGGAACCAAGGCCCAGAGAGGAGGCAGCTCAGCAGCCCCCAGCCTTCGTAGCCTTCGCCCAGGCTAACCCCACCGCCACTGTGTGTCCACTGGGCAGGAGGAGGCGCAGGTGGCCCGTGGGGCGATCGCTGAGGGACCCCAGGGTGGAGTGGTCGGGGACGAGGCTTCCGGGGCTCAGCTCTGTGCCCTAAGCAAAGAGCCCAGCCTCTCCGGGGCTCAGTTCAGCCCCAGTGAAGTGGGCTGTGAGGTAAGTGTGTGGAACCTTCAGGAGAAGCCGGCCCAGCGGCCCTCAGTGAGGAGCCGTCCAGGACCCTGGGGTGGACCCTCTCGGTCTCCTTTCAGCTGTCTGTTTCCAGATTGGTGGGTCCTGGCCTTGGCAGGCAGACAGCCCTCTCCTCCCCCCAGGTCCAGTGGTGACAGCTGGCCCAGCGACATTGTCCTGTCCAGGGAACGACCTCCACAGGGAACGCCCCTGCCCAGTCTCGCAGACCCAGGGATGCTGAGGCAGCAGCAAAGGGCCTGTTGAGAATCTCCTTTGAAGAGAAGCCTGGGGTCATGGCGGCAGCACTGTTGTCACCAGGGGAGGTCCTGGCGGCTCTGCCTTGAGGTTCAGGTGACAGGAGCATCTCCGGCCGCCCCTCTCAGGAGTGCTTCTCTGAGGAACTGGGCACAGAAATGGGCCCAGGGGGGAGGAGGCAGAGGAGGAGGCAGGAGAGGCCTGGGCCTTCCCACCATGCCCTGGCTCTCCTGTTCTATCTGTTGGAGGAGGGGGGCGTGCACAGTGGTTTCTGAGGGCCTTCCAGCTGCTGCTCCGTGGACCAGCAGGTACTCCTCTCTCCGCCCCACAGTGAGAACCCCCTGCCCACGGTGGAGATCGCCATCCGGAACACAGGCGATGCTGACCAGTGGTGTCCGCTGCTGGAGACTCTGACGGACGCTGAGATGGAAAAGAAGATCCGTGACCAGGACAGGAACACAAGGTACCCGCTCCAGGCCCCTGCAGCTGTCCCTGCCCACAGACACTGTCTTCCAGGCAGGGTGGGACCATCGCCTTTCCCCATTGACCTGGTGTCCAGGAGGAGGGGACCTGCGTTTACAGAGGCAGGCCTCCGGGTGACGAGTCCCTGTCCAGCCCCCAGGGTGGGTTTCCCTGGCCACAGCACAGACCCAGGTATCAGGACCCCTGGAGATGTGGGCAAGCCTGAGCAGGCAGGAGAGAGGGCAGCCTCAGGCCCCAGGCAGCAGACAGGCCCCGGCCTAGGCAGGTGCTGGGGATCCCACCTGCCACGCCCTGTGTCTGTCCCCCCTCCTGCTCCTGGCTGCCCTAGATCCCTGGGGGAGGGCAGCCACCTAGAGCTGGAAGCTGGCCCTGGGTCACCGCCCTCTTCCCTCCTGCAGGCGGATGAGGCGTCTGGCCAACACTGCCCCAGCCTGGTAACCAGCCTACCGGCACTTAGCTCCCACGGAGCATTCAGAAGGTCAGCCCGCCTTTCCTTCATCTTCTGGCAAGGGGGTAGCCCAGGGTTGTCCTGAGGAGCACGGGGCAGGGGGCCGTCCAGGTCACCCATCCCCGGGCACACATCCCATTTGCTGAGCCCCAGTCCCCACCACCCTGGTCTCTGGTCAGGGAGAGGCCTTGTTTGGGGTTGTGGTTTTGTATAGGAGCCCCAGGCAGGGCTAGCAAGACTTGGTCAAAAAAAGGCAACAGGTCATGTTCCATTTCTTCCACGCGGTGGCATAAAAATAAGGATGGGGGAGAGCAAGGTGCGGGGCCTGGATGGGGGTAGTGTGGGGCCAAGGCTGGGGGGCTAGGCCTCTCGCCCTTCTCTGCATCAGATCCCAGGTGGGCAGGTGGAGGGTGACAGGCCTCCAGGGCCCTGCTCTCAGCCACCCAAGGCCTGAGTCAGAGCACAGCCCTTGCTTTTCCTTAGGCCCTCCCACTTCCCACCCCCGACCCGTGCTCCACACATCCTTGCACAGAGGGAGAAATGAGGAGTGTGGTCCAGAGGCTCAGAGGGCAGGGGGCCCACCTGCCTTTCAGTGACAGCCCCGCCCCCACCCCCTTTGCTGCTTATGAAGCAGCCGCAGGCTCCCCTGCTGTCCCTGGGCTCCACTGGGTCCAAGTAGGTGGTCAGACCGCCCCCAGGCGGGATCGTGGCTTCTCTGCCGTCCCTTGCAGAGGCCCTGTCCTGTGTGGGCACTGCAGGGACGTCACCAGCCTGCATTCCAGCAGCTGCAGTAGCCAGACTGCGGCCCTTGGGCACGCAGGCTGGTGTGCACGTGCACGTCTCCTGCACCTCCCAGCAGCGCACTCAGAACAGGTGGACTGGGGCCCATCTCCATTGCTGGCTGGTGCCGTGGCCCAGGCCAGCTCCCCCTCCCAGGCAGGTTGTGAGGAAGGACACATGGGGAGCAGCAGGCCCAGCCCAGAGCTGGCTGGGGGGGGTGGGGTGGGGTGGAGAGAAGGAAGCCCTGCTCTGGCCTCTCCCTAGCTCTGTCTCTGATGAGCTTGCCGCTCCCTCTGCATCCTCATCTCTTACGTGGAAATGTCCCCACTCTACAGGAGGGATGTGGGATCCGTGAGGGCCGCACCTGTGGGTCTCCTCACTTAGCCAAGTACGACTTGGTGAACTGGGCGCACAGCTGCAGTCTTACTGAAGGTAACAGGCCTGGACCCCTGGCACCTTCCTCAGTTGCTGGCAGGCCCTTACGTGCCAGAGCAGGGCTCAGGGTCACTACTGCTCTGCTCCCTGGGAGCAGGGCAGCGGCCCTGCGACTCCTGTCTCCCAGCCCGAGCCCCACGCTGGGCAGGGCCGAGCTCTGAGTAGGGACTGGGGATCCTGGTTGCCAGGATGTAGGGGCAGATGGGCCTGGTCCTCTGGGTTGGGAGCTCCTGGGAGCACATCCTAGTATGTGACGGCTCCTCAAACCCATTCCCTTTGTCCAGGAGTGGAACTTGGCTGGAACCTCACAGCACAGGGACAGCTGGGCTTCACTGGAAGGCCCCGAACAAAGATAAGATTCCAGACCCAAGCCCGGCTGACCTAGGAAATTGGTGGGCTCCATTGCTGAGGTGTGTGCTCAGTCCATGGGGCAGGGGACAGTCCTGGGCCCCCACAGCTGGCCGGACAGAAGGAACTCTGCCTGCCTCAACCCCGCTGGGAAGGCCGGCCCACCTGCGGGGAGAGGCCTGGGGAAGGGCCAGGGCACCAGGCCCAGGGGCTGGGCCCCCACTTCAGACACGGCTGGCCCACACCACTGCAGAGCCCACTGCTGCTCCATAAGGTTTCACTCCAAAATCAAGGTCAGATTCTATGGCTAATACTTTTGTCACCCGTGAACATGACAGGTGGCTGGAGAAGCCCCGTGCTGCTGACCTTCCAGGGATAAACCGTAACTCGGACAGGTTTGGGACAAGAAGGAGAGCTGGCCAGGTCGCCCACTTTACAGAAGAGAACAGTGAGCTGCGTGGTCAGATGAGGCTCCCATAGTCCTCAGCTAAACACGGCAGGAACAGAACTTCCCAGAGGTCTCTGCTCAGCCAGTCACAGGACTCTGCTGAGGGAAAACATCTCAAGGCTTCAGGGTCACAGAAAGGGCAGAGGACCCAGTCCTGGCCCTCCTCTGCACCTGAACCCACGGGGCCTTGGCCAAGTCTACTAGCTGCTCAGCTCTGAAAATGGGACAAAGGTCCACTTGGCAGTGACTAGTGAGGGACAAGAGGGGCCAAGTGAGCCATCGGCCTGAGAGCATCACAGACAGGAGCCCTGCAGACCGGGCTCAGCACAACCAGGACAGCCCAGTCCTGGCCCCCGCCACCGAGATCTGGTCAGCCCCTCGCTCACTGGCAGGGAGCAGAGGCCCAATACAGGTGAGTTTGCCCAATGCCCATCAAGGCGCTGGCAGGGCTGAGATGAGAACTCCCTGTGTGCCATCTGTGAGCTCAAAGCTCTTGCTGGGCAACCGTGGGGAGGTTCATCACCCTCTCTGGGCCTCCTATCCTTCCACATACAATTGGTCAGAGAGGGTAGGCCAGGCTTGGCGGGAGCAGAGGTGTGCCCTGGGCCAGCCCCACCCCAAGGGCAGAGGGTGGGCAGGGCAGGACCAGGCTTGGTGGCCCTGGGTCAAGGCCAGCAGCCCCTGCCCAGCATGGAAGGGGGTGGCTGGCCGAGGCAGGGGAGCAGTGCTGTGGGCGAAGAGGCTGCAGGTCATTCTGTTTATTCGGGTGGGCCCTGGGCACAGGCCCAGCCTCCAGAACAGACTGCTCTACCGCAAGCAGGGGTGAGAGGTGGGATGGAGGCCGGCCAGAGGCCGGGACACGGGCTCCTGGGGCTGGCCCTGCCCTGGATGGGGTCACTGCTGCAGGGGTCCCGGCTGCTCCTCGGGGAGGGGCAGGTAATTGGGGTCCTCCTCTGGGGCGTCCAGTAGCAGCTTCCTGTGGGGAGGGGCCCATGCCGAGCTGAGGCCAGCAGGGTCCTCCACAGGGCAGGGAGCCGGCTGAGGGAGTGTAGGGGGAGGGCTGTCATCCCCACACTTACAGGAACCTGGGGGTCAGCAGCAGCCTCTTGCCTCCAGGCTGGTTGGGGAAGACATCCTCCAGGAAGTAGGAGATGTGGCCCACGGCAATCCCTGGGGAGAGCTGGGGAATGCCAAGGCCACCCTCCACGGTCCAGAGCCCGGGGCCAGCAGAGCCTGCGCCAGGCAACCATGCACAGCCCTGGAGGCCCAGCCAGGCCCAGAGTAACCTCAGGCCCCAGAGCCCAGGTGCCCGGTGTCCTGCACACACTGCCAGCCCAGGGCAGGCCTGGGTGGGCCCTGAAGGACAGGCTTACAGGGCCTAGAAGTGGGCAGGACCTGGGGAGGGTAGGGCCTGAGGACATCCAAGGAGCAGGAGCCATGGCGGGAACCCTGACCCACCCATCCCCACCCCGGTCAGGACCCACACAATCACCAGCAGGTCAGGCCTGAAGATGTGAAACCTACAGGCTGGCTGGCTTGTTCAAGGGGCTGTAAGAAGAGAGACGCTGGGAGGGCAGGAGGGGAGGGGGACAGATGAGAGGTCCAGTGCGGGCAGGAGGCAGGGCTGTGGCAGAGCAGCCAGTCTGGGGTGGCCCTCCCACAGACCCTCAGGTGACAGCCAACCAGCTTGGGGTGGGCTGGATGGACGGGCAGGCTCACCCAGCAGGTCCACGAGGATGGAGTTGCTCAGCAGCAGGGAGAAGCCCACGAGCGCCCAGAACAGGAAAGGCGCCTGGAAGGTGAGGAGGCCGAAGAAGCTGACCCTCACTCGAGGGCTGCGGCGGCTCCAGACGTACACCAGCATGGCTGTGAGGGCCTGGCCCAGGAAGAACAGGCTGCCCAGCAGCCCCAGCTGCTGGGCCCGAGTTAAGGTGCTGGGAGGCCCTCCCCAGGTGCCGGCCTCAGCCCTGTCCGGGGGCCCTCTGACTCCTCAACCCCTGCCATCCTCCACTGGTTTCCCTCCCCCCATCCAGTGTGCCCTTCCAGTCAGGCCCCTGGGGATCTGCCCTGCTTCTCCACCTCACCCCAGTCTCCAACCACTGCCCTTCCCTGCCCCACGTTCTCCTGCTCCTGGCATCAGGGCTCAGCCCCCAGACACCCCACCTAGCTCTCCTGCATCCCCCTGTGGTACTCTGTGCCCAGCACTGAGGGTCTAGCCCTGGCACCTGGACTCAGCACATGCTGCACGCTCAGTGCCTCCTAAGCTGGAGTGACCTACTCGGTCCCTCCCCGGCTGGGCGCTCAGTCGGGCCCCACGGCAACACACGCCGGAAGCAGAGGCGCCCGGCCTGAGATGGCAGAGCCCTGAAGGATACGGTCATGAGGACGCCTCTGAAGAGAAACGTGAAGACGAAGTCGGCCTTGCGGCCGCGGAAAGACCCCTCCTCCAGCATGCGGCAGTAGCGGAACCTGGGCGTCCGTATAGGAAGGGCCACCGGGCCGGGCCTCAGTTTCCCCGCTCCTGGCGCCTCCCGCCGGGCCGCCTGCCCCCTCCGCGCCCCCGCCCTGTCCGCGCGGGGAGGATACACGAAGAGCATGTGGAAGAAGAAGCTGAATCCCAGGGGCCCGAAGAAGAGGAAGTTGGTGACGAGCCTCCAGACCTGCGAGGGGCGCGCGCGGTCAGGCGGGGGCGGGCGAGGCGGGGCGGCAGGTGCAGGGGCGGGGCGGCCTCACCTGGAACTTCCGGAGCACGAGGTGCGGGTTGAAGTAGAGCTGGAAGGGGCTGAGGAGCTCCAGCTGCTGCGGAACCAGGGGGGCGTCAGGGGCTGCCCGGGATCCAGCGTAACCAAGGCGAGCCCCGCCCCGGGGCTGTAACCATGGCGACGCCCCTCCCAGGCTGTAACCATGGCGATTCCCCTCCAGGGCTGTAACCACGGCGACCGCCGCCCCGGGTTGTAACCATGGCGACGACCGGCCCGCCCACCCGGCTCAACACGCCGTGGGTGGTAAGGACGCAGGGCGCGGTATAGGCCCGCGTCACCGCGGTCACCTGCAGGAACTCGGCCGCCAGCCCCTCCATAAAATTGACCCTTCCCAGACGCACGTGGCCCGACAGCCAGCGCCCTATTTAACCTGACTCCAAGCCCCGCCTGCCCGGCTTTGGCCAATCTCCGTCCGAGAGTCCGTCTAGAGGGCGTGGGCCTGGGCCACGTAACCCATAGGAGGAGGAGGCCGGGAGCCTGGGGCGGGACGGGGGAGTTGCGTGGGCGGGTCACGACTCGGGCCAATGAGCAGGCCCCGCGGTTGAGCACGTGTCAGTTGTTGTGGTGGTTGTGGCGGGCCGGAGGAGAACGTGTGGCCAATGAGGCCCTGGTCTCCTCGCGGCAAGCTGGCGAGGACCAACAGGGAGGACCCACGGGCCACCGCGGGGGCGTGGCTAAGAGTAGTGGTTGTGGAGAGAAAGGACCACCGATCCGCGACGGGAAGGGGCGGGGCCACACGGGGGTGTGGTCGGGGCGGGCGGGACTCAGGGTCTGGTCACGCGGCTCTGTTGTCTCTCTGGGGCTGGGGGCAACCAGGGCGGGTCCTTCTTCTCTCTGAGAACCGGAAACGGTGACACCTGACCTACGCAAATGAGGCGCTCAGCTGCCTGTCCCAATCCCTGGCACGTCCAGGGCCGCGGTGGAACATGTGGCTCCAGTGGGAATCTTCCTGGGGCTGGATGAGGGACCCGGCTGTGGAGTGGACACCCCCGGGGTGACGTGAGGGTGCGGCTGGAGATGCCTCATTATTTTGGTGGAAAGAGAAGCTACTTTTATTCATTGTGATGAATAAAGTCAGCTGTTTGTTGGCAACCGACTGTGCAGGCACCGTTCTAGATGCTGGAGACAGAGCAACCAACAGAGACGCTGTCCCTCATGCTGGAGCCAAGGAGACAGGCAGTCACAGGCCTGTGCTAACATGAGAGCTAGTGTAGACAGGACAGTGCGCTGACGGAATTAACAGCCACATGGTGGGTGGAGGATCCAGTCGTGCGCCCCATGCTAGATGGCAGATCTGGGAAGCCTCTGTGAAGAGGTGATGCTCAATTGTCACTTGAAAAAGTTCCCTGTGGCTGCTGTGAGGACAGCACACAGAGGAATCAGTGAGCAGGGGGAGGCCGCAAGGGACATTGGTGGCTTGGGCAGTGTGGAGCCTGGAGGGCGATGAGGGGTGGGATGTGGGTTTGCTGGCCCACTGGACAGAGCTGTAAGGGAGGAGTCAAGGATGACTTCAAGGCCTGAGCCACAGAGCGGAGGGAAGGCAGAGGCCGTTACTGAGATGGAGAATGCTTGGGGAAAAGGTGGGCAGATGGAGAGTCCTGTTCTGGCCTCACTGAGTTCGGGGCATCTGTGTGACATCTGTCTGGAAAAATCCAAGCGAGGTGTTGGGGTAGAGGCCAGGCAGACTGTCCAGATGTGGGTGTCAGTCATCAGTAGACCAGTGGCCTTTGTAGCCTTGGGCCTGAGTGAGATGCCCAAGGGGTGAGGCTAAATGGAGAAGAGAAGAGGCCAGGCCTGGGAGTTGACCTTCAGCGGTCAGAGAGGGAAGGTAGACCCAGCCAGGGGGGCCTGGGGAGGCTGGGGCGGGGCGGGAGCTGAGCAGGAAAGGGCTCAGGAGGAGGGCAGGGAGCAGCCCTGGGGGATGTGGCCTGGGAAGGACAGTGGGTGCAGCCTTGCCAAGGTCCCCGTGACCAGGACAATGGCGGGCACGAGGGAGAGGAAGGGCCCAGACGGACATACCTTCACCAGCGTGGGAGCTCAGCCTTGGACATGAGCGTGGAAGATAAGGGATGCTCTGGACCGGGCCCTGAGGCCCCCCAAGGAGACAGAATGCGGGAGAACCAGGTGAGAAAGTTATCTCGGGGGATCCCAAGGAACGAGGGACCCACGAGGATGCTGAGAGGAGTCTCCTGGGGAGTGGCTCCCGGAGCCCCCATTCTGGAGGGGAGCGGAGGGAGGGCGAGGCTGGGAGCACTGAAGGGATATGCATGTGGTTCAGGGATGAGGAGAGGTCAGCAGAAGCTGGTCCAGGGTGCTGAGAGGGGGGCGGTGGGAGCAGGCTGAGGGACCCCCTTGGACAGCCTCTGTTTTCCAGGGAAGCAGGCCAAGGTCACGTCTGAGGTGGGCTGTGCAGAGTAGATCCCAGCAGGGTAGACTGTGGCAGCAGGGCGGGATCCAGGGCTCAGGTCAGGGCAGGGAGGAGCCAGCAGGGAGGCTGGGTTCCTGTCAGCTGGGGAAGGGCAGGTGTTCCTGCCTCCAGGCACTGAGCAGGCGCTGGCTGGCCCTCCACTCAGGGTCAGGCCAGGGCTAGCTCGGGGCAGGGGGAGGGGGTGTCGTGGTCCACAGGGAACTCTGTCTCCCCTTCCACTGAGGCCCATAAGGCAGGTGCCCGGCTGGGGGAGAAGCACATTCCTGGGAGGCTGGGAGCCCAGGGTGGGGCAGCCAGTTGGGCGGAATGTCCAGGGGAGCAACAGGTGGATTCTACTACACATACTCCCTTCTCCGAGCCCCAGGATCCTCATATGGGGAAACTGAGGCCCAGGAGGAGGCAGAGCAGGGCCGGGGTGGACCTCCATCACCAATCCAGGCTTTTCCTGTCCAGTCTCAGGCCCAGGACAGGCCACTCGGGAGACACCTGGTCCACTTCTCCTCTGACCCTTGGGCAACTCCAGACAGTTCTTTATGGAGAGAAGCCCTGAGCATCACACGTTCTGGGGCCTAGAGACGCAGGCAGGCCATGTGCTGGACGCTCACGTCTATTGAGCTGTCTGTCCTAAGCAGCAGGTGGCTGTCCTGCTGGCTGGGCCCACCTTCTCTCTCCTGTGCTGAGGACTGTCGTCCCTTGGCAGGGTGACATGGGCCCAGCTCCCCAAGCTGTCGCTCTGGCCTGGTGACCCTGCCTGCTGCAGAGCAAGGAGTCCCGGGATCCCAAGGTCTGGGGAACTGAGGGGACCCCTAAATCTTCTTTTCAGGCTCTCCCAGTGCCTCTAGGCAGGACAGCACCCCCTGCGTGCCCCCAAGCTTGCCTTCCTCCTCGAAGGTCTCACACACCAGGCCCTGGGGACCATCCAGACACCTGGGGCCATCCGTGCCCCACCTCTCTGCAGGCGCACATGGAACCTGATGCTCCCACGGAACTCTCCAGTCTTTCCTCCCCTCCAGCACGCCTCACCACCACCGCCACCTCTTTTTCAGGCCTCAGACTCTGTCTCCTGGGGATGCCCCAGATCTCTGGCTCATTCATCCACTCATTTCCTCCCTACCAGCCTAGATGTTCTGTTAAAGAGGAGAGGAAGGGAGGGTGGTGGAAATGCCCCCTACACCAGGAAGCCCTCCCTGTGGGGACCAGAGCTCACCTATCTTCCGTTAGGACCCCACGCACTCAATTTCTAAGTGTATCTTATTCCATAGGTAGCACATGCCTGTGGTAAGGAACCGGAAGACTCAGACACAGATGAGTGAGTGTGCGTGTGGGAGGCAGCTGTGTTTTCCTTTGACAACACATGGCGCCCCTTGCAGGCCCTGAGCATCCTCCACGGGGGGCCTTTCCTCAGGGGCTGAGAGCTCAGTGCCCACCCACTTCCGGTACATGGACCCCCCAACTGTGGTGGGTGGGCCTCCACCGAAGCTCCAGCCAGCCCCTCCCAGGAGGAGCTGTGTCCCCTTGGCCCTTCCTGTCTGGGTCACGGGTATTTTTAGCACCGAATCCGGAACCCACTGGGCAGCAGCTGCTCACAGACAGACTGTAAGAACAACACAGTGTCCAGGTGGCTGCCTCAGGCCTGGGAGGCAGAGGGAGCACCTTGGGCCTGGCCCCTTGAGTCTGGTAGCAGAACCCGGACTTTCCAGGAATGAGCGGGTCTCTGAGTGGGATGGGGAGGGAGGAGGTATGGCAAGGCCAAGGATGAGTAGGTATCAGCTGGGCCCCAAGGGAACAGCCTGTGCAAAGGCCCTGAGGTGGCATGGAAGGACAGAGAGAAGGTGGGGGCAAGAAGGAGGAGGAGCTGCATGCAATGTGAGGCTGGTGAGGGCTGGGTCAGGATGAGCAGGGCCGTGTGGGCTGTGGCCTCTGTCCCAAGGGCAGTGGGAGCCATGGGAGAGTTTCCAGCACAGGGGTGAGGTTAGGATCAGATGGTAGCTCTTTGGAGGAAGAAGGGACAAGAGCAGAAGCCGTGGGCAGAGCAGAGGAGGATGGCAGCGGCCTGCAGTGGCAGGTGTGTGACAGAGAGGGAGCGGTTGGGTGAAGGAGGTGGGAGCCACAGGCCTTAGTGAGCGCTTGGCAGAGGGGCGAGACCCGGGGGAGGGCCTAGTTTGGAAGGGAGACAATCCATTGGTTTGGGACAGGCTGAGTTTGGGGTGCTGCGGGGACATGACTGCCTGAGGGAAGCCCTCCCTGGTCCCCCAGCCTGGCCCTCACAGCTCCTTGTCCTCTGGGGCTCTGGACCTGCCCGCAGAAGGGCTGCCCCAGGCTCTCTCTATCCCTGGGATGTGCTGTCTGCTGGGCACAGGCAGGCCTCGGACCTGGACTCCAGGGCTGGGTCTGCAGCTCAGGGCCAGCAGTGGACCCGGCCACTCCCTGCCCGCCTCCTCCTCAGTGTCCCTGTCTGTGAGATGGGCCGGTTGGAAGAGTCCACCTGTAGAGTCTCCTCCAGCTCGAAGGCTGTACTCTGTTCTATTGCGGGGATGTCAGAGATTCTGGGCAGGGGCCCCTTCCTGTGACAGTCATGGCTCCCCTGCCCCTCTGAGGCCAGCCTCTGCTGTGCATGAGCGCAGGCCCGTGAGCGAGAACGCACTAAGGAAGGATCCTCTCTTGCGGGCCTGTGTCCTCGCCCACCTCCTCCTGACCCGGAGCTCTCACGGGCCTGTGGTCAGGCAGACCCATGGAGGCTTGAAGGGCGTGGGAGGGAGGCAGTGGGACCACCCCAGTCCTGCAGGAGTTCGTCCTCTGGCTGGAGAGACTGGGCGACCACACTAAGCAGTGAGGGGAGCTCAACCGGTCAGTGGCCCAGGGACAAAGAGCCACGGGCCCTCTGAGGAG